TTTTTTCTGAAATCTGTGATGGGAGACTTCGGGGTGTGACTTCAAGGTAACTTTGATTTACAATCATTTAAACATTTTGAGGTGTAAAAGAAACATATTGGGAAAGATAAATTCAGTAACAATACATGTGTTAGAATAACACAGCTTTGAAGATCAAGTGTTCTGTTATCTACATTTTCATCTGTTTAATGTATCCGTCAATTCCATTGGTGATTCACAACAGGATTATAATGGGTAAAAGAACTCTGGGCGAGAGGATTTACAGATTTTTGGGGCTACGATGCCACCTATTGAAATATTACTAAATAATATTTTGTTCACTTAATGAAGACAAGGAATATATGTGAAAAAATAAGGTTTAAAAATGTACTCCCAGAAGACTAAAGACAATGTTTTTAAAATATATGGAAACATCAATTGTACTACTATAATCTATTTTGTTTACTTGAAGTGTTTATAGAATTTAAAAGAATGTACAGTAAGGGTTCAACACGGTTGTTCATCAATGATTTGGTAATGTTCTCATGATGTTTGCATTTGTAAAATATAATAGATGAATTCCTTATTCATAATATAGAAAGAATTGAAAAATGTCGGGGATATTGAAATGTTATTCCAGACATTGGAGAGTAGTTTCCTCTATATATTGTTGCATCTTTCTTTATTAATATGTGGATGTGATGCTTAATAATCGCAATAATTACATTCATCTTGAGGAATCGGCAAATATACATACGGTATCTTATTCAATTTTACTTCCCTTTCACTTACTATCCATCTCCCTCTTAGCTTTAAGCCCTTTTTACTTCTCCAAAATATGTTTCCCTCTATCCTATCACACTTTTCACTTTGAGTTGTTTGTATTGTAGTATCTCATACGAGAGAAAGCACAGGATCTGTAACCTCTTGGGTCTGATTTATTTCACTTAGTATTGTGGTCTTGAGGTACATCCATTTTCCTCCAAATGACTCAAATTTGTGCTTTATGGTTGAATAGTATTCCCTCATGCATATATGCCTTGCTTTCTTCATCCACTCTTCTGTCGGTGGGTCTCTATTTTCTATTAAAATGATGTGGTTCACCTACCTTCTGTCTTATTTCATGTGCAGAGCCAGGTAACACAGAAGTTATTTGTCTGTGTACTGACTACTTTTATGGAAGGCAGTAGATGATTTATTATTATTATTATTATTATTATCATTATTAATTTGTGTAGGGTCTCACTACGCAGCTTGGATTCCTAGTGATCTTCCTGTTTTCTGCCTCCCTAGTGCTGGGATTACAGGCTTGTGCCACTGCTCCAGGACTCTATCGCTATCTCAGTACACCACGGGGATGGGGCCAGCATGGCACACCCGGGATCAAATGTGGTCCCTGGGCCTGCCTAAACAGGCGCTTTAGTTGACTGAGCTATCTGGCCAGCCCTGATGTTAATCTTTTCAAACTGGGTTATTTCATGAAAGTCACCTTTACTATGTTCCTACTTTGAGACTTGAAGAGGTTGTCTTTGAACATTTAAACAAAAATTGAAAATATTTTAAATTTAAGTATTCTAGTGGATATGGCCTATCAAAATTATTTTACAATGCAGAAAGCTTGAAGAGTCTCTTAATGGGCATTGGTTTAAATTTTAGAATGGCTTTCAATTTTAGAACTTTACAGCAGTCCTCTAAATTTTTTGAGTAGTCAATATTTTTTTCATATCACATATCATGTTGAATAAAATTGTAGTGAGTATTGAAAATAAAGAATGTTGTGGTCACGAGAATGAGCAAGTTCTTTTTTATACAAGGTCTAAACAGGAAGGCTGAGTCTTGGAGTTTTCTTTCATAAAGATAAAAGGGTGTATGTATGCATGTGTGTGCATGCTTGAAATACCAAAGAAAGAAAATAACACAAAACATGGGTGATTTTATTATAACACAGCCACCCAGTGGAGGAATTCAAAATCACATTCAGAAATAAATGAGTATTAAAGAAAATATGTGCTTAACTTGAAAAGTCTTTATGGGAAGTAAACATGGACATAGAAAAAGGAAAATGTGATAGATCTTTAGATATCATGTTGTTATCCAGGGACATTAAATTTTGTTGCATCAAAGATTAAAGGGTTTGTGGAACTGTTGAATATGACATGACAATTAGATTAGAAATATCTGTTACTCTGTTCCTAAGCTTTTATAAACCTTTTCACAGCTGAACAAAACTGTAGTACTGTAGAATACATGCTATGCTGGCCATGTCCCCGGGCATCTGAGATGTTGATTGAGACTGGGCGTGGTGGCGTGCATCTATAATCCCGGTTCTTGGGAGGCTGTGAACAGGAGGATCATTATGAATCTGACCTAGTAGTGAGACCCTGAACACCTTGTAGACTCTTCCCTAAATATAAATAAATAAATAAATAAATAAACTTGTGTTTGTTGTGTTAGTTTGCTTGGCCTTCTTATGAAGATACTGTCGTTTAGGAAATTAAATTGACAGATCCTTGAATTTTCTTTAATGTTTATAACACATGTAGAACACTGAGCAAATTGTAACTTACTATACATAATCATCTTTCAGATCAAGGTTATTTCAGCTTTTCTAATTATAGGAGTAATTTTCCTCTGAGATTAAGTCCTCCTGATTAAGATGCATTTTTACTTAGCTTATAAACTTTTAAAAGAACATATTCTCTGTGCAGTCTAACACTGGTGAAAAGATTTTGTATACTGCAAAGTTTCGATGAGGAAAAGGCTGAAAGGCCAGGCTGCTGAGGGAAGAGAGATACCCAGGTGTCCAGAGCAGAGCCTTAGAGTCAGATGGGCTCAGACTCAAGCCAGGATCCCATACACCAGTCTGGTCTGAGACACTTGAATTTTCTAAGCTTCAGAGGGGATTTTATGACCTCAAGAGAGAAAATTCAAGCAAAAGCTTTTTTTTTTTTTTTTTTAATTTTATTTATTTCTTTAGGTGTGTGTGTGTGTGTGTGTGTGTGTGTGTGTGGCCAGCTCAGCCCACCAGGGGGCGGGGCTGGCTGGCACGTGGTGCTGGGGGATTGAACCGCGGTCCCTGTGCTTTGCTGAGCTTGTTCTAAGTAGGTGCTTTAGACCACTGAGCCATCTCACCAGCCCCTCAAGCAAAAGCTTAATGGATGGCAGGAAACCCACTCAGCAGTCAGTACACATTAGCAATTTATAATAATAAAATGATATCACTTCTGAGTTACTCTTTAAGTTTCTCAAAGTCTGATTCTTGGGTGTTTTTTTTTTTTTTTTTTTCTTCAGTACAGGGGGTTGAACTCAGGATCTTGTGCTTGTCAGGCAAGCACTTATTCTACTGAGCTATCTCCCTGATTATCTACTGATTCAATAATTTATTTTCTCTCCTTCTTTTTACAACTCTCACTATATCACTGCCATATGGAGATTTTAACTTCTTTTGGAAGATATCTAAGAGGCAGATAACTGAGTCAAATGGAATTTCTACTTTTAGTTTTTTGAGGAATCTCCACACTGATTTCCATAGTGGTTGGGCCAGTTTATATTCTTACCAACAATGCAGTAGAGTCCCTTTTCCCTACATCCTTGTCAGCATTTGTTATTATTAGACTTTTTTTATGATAGCCATTCTTTCTGAAGTAAAATGGTGTCTCCATGTAGTTTTTAATTGGCTCATTTGTTTTATTTATGCTAATAGTTTATCTTAGTTCATTGAAAGGAAAATTTGTGTTATTACCTATTTATTTATATTTTGTAAGAATCCTATTGATTTTTGTCTTGTATTGAGTAGCTATTTTGAAGATCACAATATATAGTGTAGAAACTATTTTTACCATCTTATTTAAAATTTTGTTTCAGTTCATCATAAAATAAAAAGAAAAAATACTCTCTGTCATAATACCTCTTTTAAAATGCATCACTTTTGAGCCTTTTGGAATTAAATTGATATCTCTAAAATATTTAACATATATTTGTCATCATAAACCATTTACTAGCTGGAAAGATTTTCTTTACCAATAATTTTCCTCAATTCTCATTTCCAAAAATTTAAGTCTTAATTAAGTATTTCAGGCACTCTTTATTTGCTTTTTTCTTGGGCTAATATTTTCTTCAAACAGCATATTATTTCTACATTTGCTTTTCTCTTGACTTATATTGACCCATTTTCGTTTTCTTGTGAAGTTGTTTTTTTACTAATATGTATTTGCCAAATATAACAATTGCATTCATCATAGGAAATTTACATTTGAACATAGCATATTGTAATTCATCTTTCTTTATTAATCCATTTTCTATTTCACAAAAATTATTGATGCAAAATTCAAATGCTTCTCCATTAGACCTTTCTTTAATGATATTCCAACAGAAAGACTCTGAGGTGAACCTAAAGTTCCTATTACTTTAATGTATTAAAGCACAGCTTAAATGCATTCAAGAAACCCCTCAAAACACTTTCTCCACTCCCTAGCCACTATCCTTGCAACTTAAATAAGATGAGCCTCTGACAGGCCTTGATAGCACTGTCTGCCTTGCATTTCATGAATCTGTTCTACAGCTCAGATTAAACAGAAATCACTGAAGGCAAGGAGTTTGCCAAAATTGGTCACGTGCTCCTGGCATGTGACATAATGTCCACTATGGAGCAAATGCTCAAATCGTATCAATCAGTGAATGAGTCTTGGAAAACATCTTTCCTAAAGTTTTTCTAAAGACTTTTACAGGCTTGAAATTAATCTCAACAGTTTTCCTTTATTCTATCATTTTTCTTATTTTGCCTGATAATTTAAGAATAATAACAGGGTTTTAACATATGTGGGTTTTGTAAACAGGACATTAAGAGACAGAAAAAGGTTTCATTGAGGCAAAATTGTCATGTTGTTAATGTTCTAAAATAGACATGATCTGTATACATACATATGTGTTCCTATGTATATGCATATGTATGCATGCTGTATACTTATAAGCACATATGAAATATGAAACAATCTAAAAAGATTTTGTTTTCTATTTTACAGGAAAAAGCACACCTGTTCCTACTTCTGGTAAGAGTTAACATCTGCATTTTATTTATTTATTTTCTTGTTGCAAAGATTATATATTTAATGTAGATATAATTTTTTACTTATTACTCAAATAAATTGTTTTAAGAAACTGAATGGTCTTGACAGTCACTTGTTCTTAAAGGGCTAAGGATGTGGCTCAGTGGTAGAGCTCTTGCCTTGCAAAAAAAAAAGACATAAAGTTTGGTAACTGCCAGAACATACTGAATTGCACGTCTATTATCATGTATAAATAATAACTTTTCTTAACCTTCAAAGTAAAAACCATGACAGGATTCCAAGTTCCCTTGAAAATTTCAATACTATAAATAAAGTTACATCACAAAACTTCGTACCTAAGAATGAGCTAAAATTTATCTGAGTTGTAAAAGCTAGATATAAACTTATGCTTAGGAGTAACATATTTTCTTTAATAATTATATTTATCACTCATTTGTATTTAGATTTAAACATACATTCTTAGTTAATTGTTCTTATTATTAATTCTTAAATAAATTTTTGTCTTTTAAAAAGTATGCCAAAGACTTGATTGTTGAATAGTTTGTAAGAATTGTTATCAAATTGTGCTATCACAACTAAATTTATGGTCTTAGGAACTGTCCAAATCATGAGAAAAATAAATTTGAGTAATGAAGATGCTGCCACTAAATCTGTATATATTAAACACAAAATAGTAGAGAACTTAAATTGAAGGGTAAATATGAATCATATAACTTCAATATGATTGTTATTGAAAATGTACTGTTTAAATTTTATTTGGTCATATAGTTGACAGTAAGCATTAAGAAGATAAATAAAAATATTAAGACAATTTTGACTTAGTATTACGATGCAAAACAGTATGAGACACATCTCACAATTAGATTATTATAGGAATTTTTTTATCATTAAATGAAAATTCATTCCAAATGATGAACACCGACAGAATATTTATGCCAGTCCTAACAAATGGCCCTCCTAAGTCTTCAGGGGAGGTAGATTGCTTTAGTTTTTGAAAGACCTTACTGTTACAATTCTGTAGTCTCACAGTATGTAATACTAAAACACTGCTTTAAGTAAATAAAAGTCACTCTTCATAGCATTATAGTTGATCTAAACTTTTACTATTTATTTAGTTATATTTGTGGTACTCCCCACATTTTTTTTTTTTTTTTTAGACAGGGTCTGTCTAAATTGCTAAGTTTCCCAGGCTGGACTTTGACTTGCCACTGCCCGGCTTCTACTTCTCAGAGTGGTGGGATTACAGGTGTACACCACCATTCTTAACTTCCATTTTTTAAAAGTTAGCTCTTTTATAAAAGTATAAATTAATACCTTTTTTTCCGGCATAGAAGTGAGTTGCTTCGCAGCAGAGGGCTGCATTGAGCTTAGAATGGGCAGCGCACATCAGGGTGGCAAGGCGCTCCCTGCCCTTCGGGGCAAGTTTCCTTTCCCTCTGCAGAGTCACATAAGCATCCAAATGAGAAAGTCAAGTAAGTCAAAATTGTGACCCAAGATGCAGAACAGTGTTTTCTCACAGATTTTGCCACTAGGAACGCAATCAGAGCAAGCCACTGTCCCAAAGTAAAGGACAAGGTGAAATGGGCACGTCAAGCTGGTGGGTGCTTTATAATCTTAAGTTCTCATTTCTGAAATGGGGACTTACAGTGAGCATGAAAAGGTAGTACATGGTGAACGAAATTTAGGGGGGAAGAAGGCGCTGAAATACTCAACATCAGATGAATACATAGAACGTGGTGTGTTTTTTTATTCTTCCATTAAAAAGCACACTTTTCAGTGAAAGAGCAAAGCTGGATTTAAGGCCTTTGTTACACCGTGCTAATTTGTGCCCTGCCATTTGTACACCCGTATCATCAGATGTACTCATTTTACTACAGCTGGCCACATTTCCTCCTCATTGTAAAGTGAATTTAAGTCACAGAAATCTTACTTCAGTGTCTTATATTATGTCTCTTTTGTCAGTATGAAGTTGACGCTTTGGTAAGAGTGGATGATTTCTGTACGTGCCTATGAGTTTTATTTTCCAGGCTTTTCTCCATCTTTTCCTTGGTTTGTATTTGATTTTAAAAACTCAATCTGTGTTTCTGTAAGACTTTTGTTGCTCATTTTTTAAAATCCTAGCTCCTAGTACATAATAGCATTAGTTTTGAATTTTCTTTTCTCCATGATTTTGTCAGTCTTGTAAATTCCCTGTATGCATCTTTAACCAGAGGGGTCCACTACTGGCAAGGTAACTGTTCTAGATAGCTGAGAAACCAGTGATTGAATGGCAAGGGAATAGGTGATAACTGCGCTTAAGTCTGTTTTCCTATATTTTTTAATCCTTACTACTGTGTATTTGATTTATTATCTATCTCTGTGTATTATAATGCATTTTTTACATGTGTATTTGGACCTATATTTGGATATGTGTATATACAAATTCATACCCACACCATGTGTCACACTTAGACTATGTGTATACATGCATATGTGTGTGTGTGTGTGTGTGTGTGTGTGTGTGCACAGATGGACACTCTGATGGCCTAGGGACTTAGTGTACTGTGATAACCACATGTTTCACAATGTGATGGACATATTTATTTTCTCCTCCGTCTCCCATTGACAAACAGGACTGACTGCAACAGAGAAGCCTCCTAACGGCCCCTTGCCTGCTCCCAGCACTGCATCCTCACCCGCAAGCATCTCTGAAAGAGGAAACGACTCTTCAGAGACCACACCTCCTGCTAGTCTAAGTGGTTCCTCAGCCTCTGACTCCCCGGGCCCTTTGGATAATGCTAATGTTCTGAATGTGACAGGTTGGCATAGAAACGCTCTTAATCAACATGCTGTGCAGTAAACTTATCTTTAAAAAAGCTCTGAAGTAACCAAAATAGTTTTTTTTCCTGACATTATATGTGCAGTTTCTTGGATATGATTTTATCCGAATGAATAATGTTTAAGACATGTTAGGTTGTATAAAAATTGGTTGGCTAAAGCAATGTATACTTGATTTAGGGAGAAAGAAAGGGGTGAAAGAATGACCCACTAAGTAAAATCAGGAGTGCAACAGGGATTTTTCTGAGTACATGTGTAGCACGCTTTTGTAGTGAACAGCAGTTTGAGGTAGAATGTGTGATGCAGCTCTGTGGAAAGGAAAGAGCGGGGGACACGTGAATTCTTCCTAGCAAGAAGTCTGTGTGAGAGGTCTAGAGAATAAGGCAGATATGTTCATGGTGCTAACTGAAGTTTTTACATTGAGATATGTCTTTGAGCCACGCTTCCCATAGCAGTGGATGGTGGAGTGTTAAAGAAAGTGCTGTTGGTCACTGCAAACAGCAAGAGCTTTCTGTGCTTGGATGTCAGTAGATGCAATGAATGGGGCCTGGCCGCGCTCGCTGGAGCATCTGCCTGTCTGCAACAGGGATGGTTGGAGCGCACATCTTATGCTGTGTAGTGAGTGCTGCTTGGGGTAGGACGACACGGTCCTTTGTGTGCACATTCTGCGTCGAGCTCTCTTTTCCTTCTCTCCTGGGCTCCTCGTAGCCGTGCACAGGCTGGAGCTCTAAAGTGGAACACGTCCATTTCCTTATTCTATTCCAAGTTAGCATTATCAAAAAATTATTGAGTTTAGGCCAGTTAGTTTTAAACATTCACTGTAACATTTGACAGCTTTGTTATGCGGGTTTCTTTTAGGGCTATTTCAACACGTTTTTTATTTTGGAAACTGAGTGCACGTAATCACGTTTCTAGTGAAACACTAGACTGATTTGGGAGGCATATGGCTAGTGAGGACCACTGATGTCTCTCACATGCTGATGTACTAGTGACTTCAGCTCATTTTATACTCACTTCCAGAGTATCTGGTTCAACAAACTATCCACACGGTAACAGGCCAGGCACTTCTGAAATGATGTGCTAGGATGCCAACTTCTTAGGTAAAAAGATTTACAGAATACTGTCATAGGGACTAAACTATTTGATAGCCTAAGAATGGCACTTAGCTTTTTCTGAAAAACAAGCATGTGTTGCAGTATTTCAACTATTGAACTGCCTTTTAGCAAAATGGATAATGCTTTCTTTTAGAGATTACAAGATTGTATATGAAATCTTTACCTCATTTTCCATGCTGCCATAGCAAAGTACTGACTTAGAATATATCTAAACACCTTCATTGCCTCAAAGTTTTAGGAAAGGCAAGTAAAGATGGTAGGCAAATGCTGCTGATAAGCAAAATATTTCATGCTGGGCTAGTGGTAGTGAAACTCTTTAAAGACATGGTACAAATCAAGACTTATTTATTGCAAGGTGCCTATGTGGCCCCTCTGTGTGTTGTCACCCAGTGCCCTGCTGCTGTGGCGAAGCTGGGGTGACATGGCTCAGGTGTCCATTGCTGAACACATGCCAAGGTTTGCCACCACTGTGACAGAGGTTTTCATGGCCTAAGCCAGGTCATTCAGCTTTCCATTCAAAGGATTCCAGATTTTTCTTTTCTTTTTTCTTTCTTTCTTTCTTTCTTTCTTTCTTTCTTTCTTTCTTTCTTTCTTTCTTTCTTTCTTTCTTTCTTCTTTTTCTTTCTTTCTTTTTTTTTTTTTTTTGAAGAACTGGGGATTGAACTCAGGCCCTTGTGCTTGCCAGACAAGCACTTATTCTACTGAGTTATCTCCCTAACCCCTTAGGAGTCCAGATTTCATAACACACACACACACACACACACACACACACTATTATTACGCATTCAATTCACTCATAACATTTTTCTACCTGAACACACATAATAAAGCCATAGGTTTACAGGAAGCTGGTGCCACAGAACAGACTTAAAGTGGGACACGTTGGAAATGAGGGTGAATAATAATAAAATACTGACTTAATTCGGCCACAATAGGTTTATGGTACAGCGTGCTTGGAAAGTTTCTTTGCTCTTTCCTTGTTTATGCATATATCTAGGAGACAGTTTTTACTAACTTCTCTAATGGCATAGAACATGCTCTTCTAGATTGTTCTTTTTTAAAAAAATGGTTACAACAAGCACAGCTAAAGTGTGGAATATTGCTTTTATAAAAATCATTTATGCATGTTTCAAACGTATTGATATGGAAATAGATATGTGTAAACAGACAAATACAAATATTTGGTATGTAGTTTGCATGCCCAATAGAAATAACATTTTGAATTCTATTTCTTTAATAGATCATTTTCACCACTATGCAATGACTTCTACTCTCCTGGCAAATGGCCCTCTGTGTGTGTGTGCATGTGCATGTGTGTGACAGACACACCCGTTTCTCTAGTCCCACACCTTCTCTAATGTCAGATATTATCAGTCGTTAACTGTGCCACAACAGTAGTTGAAAATGGTCACATCGACTTCCATTTCTTGTAACTTTTCTTAATGCTGAACCTAGCTTTTGGCTAGTCTATCCATTAGATGCTTGCTCTATTCCGTGTCTATTTTCCTACTTCTTTGTTATGGAGGATTCCTTTCTTATTCGACCTACAAAGAAACGTCCCAGCTTTGGGTCTGTAAAGTAGGTGGTGAATTCTGAAAAGCCACAGGGGTCTGGGAGCTCCCGGAGATCTGTAAGTGGGGGACCCATAGCTCCACTTCCAGCCAGAGAACTCCGTGTTTCAGTAGATTGGGTCACTTCACAGCCTGATAAACTGTGACGTAATTTGCTTCTTAGTGAATTTTCAAATGCAGTGGGAGAAATTGACGCTTGGTCTCACGCTCTCACCCAGGTGTTGCAATCACACCGACGCCTCCCCCTGGCACGCACGCCGACTCGCAGGCGCCCTCTGCCGGACGAACTGACACGCAGACACTCAGCAGCAAGGCTGACCTTAGCACGCTCAAACCCGATGCACGCCTGCGCGAGCCAGGTTTGCGGGCCCTTCACACTTGTGCAGATGTAAAGAGTCCATGTCGACTGACTGGCTTTAGGAAGGGCGTGAAAAGATATAGCCCCTTGCTCCGTGTTGAGCAAGTTAATAAATTGGAATTTCGAAATTACCCATAGGATGAGAAACTATATAGCTCAGTCCTCCCTGGGGGCGGAGCCAGGGCTGCAATACCAGGGATTGAACCCCTGGCCCCTCACCTGCTTGCAGGTGCTTTAATCCGCTGAGCCATTTGGCCGACCCACAACAGCTTTAAAAGAGATGAAATAATAATGAAAATTCAGGACAAAAATGTCCTCAGGGAGAAATAGTTATCCAAGGATGCTGTATGTTTCCTTATAGTTTGGGCAACTATACAATGAAAAGCTCTATTCTTTGCAAGCAACAACAGATAATATGACAGAATATTTGCCCCAAATCTCAAATCAACAAACAATTGTCAGGAATAGCAGTAAAGTAACTCCTGCTATCAGTGAAGAGCACAGAGAGATTGTAGTCACAATCAGTTGTTATTTATGGAATGATTATCAAAGAGATGCTCATCTTTCCTATTTAAGCATCAAGTAGCTTCCAATTTAACATCTCTGCATGTACAAAAATGCAACACATTGTCTCCCTTGTCTTTCAAAAATCAGTGTCCAAATCACCGCATGGATCCTTTTGTTTGCAAGAAAACAAGTGCTTGTCTTCGCAGGTCCTAAGTTTGCATAGAACCTGAAGGCCTACATGGCCTCCGGTGAAATGATTTTGTTTCAAGTAAGAATGAGGTGTGGAAGTCCAGCACCTCAGATAGGAGAATAATTGTTTTGAAATATGCATTATCATTGTTTCCTTACCATGAAATGCATTGCAGAAAATCCATATGCTTTAAACTAAATGAAGGCCAGTCCTCACATCTTCCTTGATTCTGCCATTTCCAACTGCCTGGAAGCCATTGGAAAAAAGGTGTGCTACCTCTTGCAAATTCACAGCCTTGAAAGTTATGGAGAGGAGGAAGCTGTAAAATATCCAAAGAGGACAGGTCCTTGGGTGCTGGTTGTCACACAAAGTAGTCTGCTCTGCACTGATCAAAGGATTCTTTCTCTCAATGGCCAGCTCCACTAATTAAAGATCTATTAAGATTAATCAACGTAATTAAAACTTAAATTCCACTCCCAAAGTGTGGCTGAGATTACCTACTTAACAAGAGAAATGAGTTTTCAGAGGAGTTAAGAAGGTGAGAGTCTGAGGAAGGAGAGGCTCCAGACAGCCCTGGGGCGGGGGCCGCGTACAGGGGAGAGAAAAGAAATGTGGGACAGAGTTGAAAAGAAGGTGAAGTGAGACTAAAGACAAACTTGGATGCTTTCTAAAGGCCCAGTGCTATGTTAAGATAAAATTGTTAAAAGTTAATGAATGCTTATAAGTCTTTGGAGTCCTCCTATGTACCCAGAATGATGAAACTGCACTTAGTTTTTATTCATTCTTTTGAGTGGATGTGTGAGATTAGGATGTAATGACTTTAGAAGAATGAACTGAAAACCCAAACACAGTGAGGAGTGAAATAAATTTCCAGTGTATTGGGAAGGTGTGCTAAATTATTGGCTGCAACCCACTTGTAACTGGCACATGCCTGCCCACTCGTATCATTGGGCGAACATAGACTCTGAGGGTACTTGAGAGACTACTTCATGTCTCTGAACTGATGACCAAAGGTGCCATGAATGTGAGATAACCAAAGAAGCTCTCAGATGCAAGAAGCTCAGATGTGTTTTGTCCATAGCAACCAGCACAGTACTAGTCACCCGGTGGGCACCCAGTGAACGTACATGGAGAATCTGTGCTGTGCTTCTCTGGGTGATGTCTGGGGGAAACGTTGCATGCAGTGAGGGCATTGGAGTCTGACAACGAAAAGTCTTAACCAAGGACAACTTGCAGCTCTTCCGCTACGATCTTAGATTCTGCACTAGTTCGTTCAGTTCTGATTGGAAGGAAGGGAATCATGTCAGTGTGATGTGAAGTCTGTAGGTTCCAAACCAGTTTGACTTTCTCTCCTGGCAAGGGGGATTATATAATGAAAATAGAATTGTAAACTTCAGCCAGAAAGAAAAGAACCCTGAGCTCAGCTTCCGCACAGGCAAAGCCCACTGTGCTCTGTTTTCAGAAAGTTAAAATTGAGCACCTGCAGGCAGGGGCTTCCCCAGGGAGGGGCACCCACTCATGCGAGGCTCCCCACAGGTGCCAAGTCCTATTTCCTCTGGTCCAGCCCTCCCAGCCTCTTCTCAGAGTTCTTCTCCAGTCCATGTGCTCCCAGTAACGCCAAGATAGCACTGCTCTCTGCAGTGCTGATGAATTTTTTAATATTGCCCAAGGCAGCACTCAGCAGGGAGGTTGTGGCTACCATGTGTGCGCTGAGGTACCATGGATGTGCTTGACTGGCTGGTATTGTGCTTCAGTAGTCGAGTGCACATTGGCTGACTGATCTTTGCCCTTATGTGCTAGCGCTGGTGACGGTGCTGATGGCCCTTCTGGTTGCAGGTATCTCAGGAGAGAGGAGCACAGTCGCCGCCTTTCCTGCAGACACAGACTCCACCCCAGCAGCTGCCCTCAGCCCTGCACGCAACAGCTCTGCTCTCCCACTTGCACGCACCTCCAACCTCAGCACCTCAGCTTACACCTCAGGTTTGACCAGGGTGCCAGTGTATTGGGCTGTAGACCATGAGCTGGAAACGGCACGCTCCCATAGAACTCTTTGCTCTAAATATTCTCAGGTTTCTGGCTTTATACATTGTCATATCCTGCTGCTAAATTAGGCAAAATAAACTTATCAGTAAATTTTTTCCAGGGTATATTTTATTTTATTCTTATAAATTAAACATGAGGTTCGTGACAAAGAAGAATGGACAATGGGCTTTAATAGCATACAGCTCTAGGATCAAATCCAGTTTCTTTAATTTTCTAGCCAGTTAGGACAGCTTAGCAGTACTTTTCCTTGTACAACAATGTATATAAGTGTACTCATTTGATAAGATTGATGCAAAGAGGAGTAAACAGAAAACCTGACAGTCAATAGGCATGTTGAAAAGGAACTTGCTCCTGCCAGCAGCCCAAACAAGGAAAGCTGTACTTGAAAGGGAAAAGATTAGTTTGAGGAAGATTGCACATCAGGTAAGAATTATTCCAAGGAAAAATGTTTGCCTTCAATGTAGACACCGTGTAGTTCAAATTCCTGAAATTAGTCCTCATCTGAAAGGGAGCTTTGTGGACAAATCTTTGGTTCATTTGCCAGTGTCAAGTATCAGTTCCAGTGAGGCTGCCGCGAGCATGAGTCCTCTTTGTTGAGCAGGACTCCCTCTTTCCTTGGACAGCAGCCTATTAACTTGTATTCTTCTGTTCATTGCCTTGCAGATCCCACCTCTCTTGCCTCTGCATCATCCACACAGAGCCCTGCAGCAAGCACTCTTCCTCCAACCACAGCAATAGGTGACAACCTCACCCCCAGTCACGCAGCCACAGCACCCCCAGTGCCGGGATCTGATCTGCACTCACAGAGTCTCCCACTTGCTCTACCTAAGGCTGATTTCTTGGAGAAGTTCAATGTCGTGTTCTAGTCCTCAGAGCTGGGGAACTCTTAGAGCTGGGTCTGTGTAGCAACAGCTGATGAGATTAGGACAAGAAGTTTCTGTATCCCTGGCCACATGGCTACAGTCGCTTCCTCAGGAAGGTGTACTTGATGAAAACACGTGTGAGAAATAATTGAAATGGTTGGAAGCTCTTTCTCTTATAATGGGCTGAAGTATCAGTGTGGAAAAGACTAGTTCTGGCAAAAGGAATTTCCTTTTCAAGAGATGAATTTCAGTTAAGCAGGGAGGGACATGGAGTTCAAGGACAGGGGTCCCCCCTGGATAGCCCACAGCGACAGTGGCATCTGGATCAGTGAAGAGGGTGCAGCCAGGCCCACCTTGCTCCCACAAGTCCTTGCAGCTCTGAGACCAGCAGAGACCTCTTAGCTTCCCTACCCTTTAGTCAAATGCGTGGAAGCACACACAACTCTATTTGTTCAGAAAGTATTTTGTTTGCAAAAATTATGATGCAGAACAAGGTAGCCCTTACCTACTGTCCATTTTTTAAAAATAGAAACCTTATAAGGGTTGTAATTGTCTAAATGTTCTTTTAGATCAATGAAGGGGATAAAGACCTTCCTTCTCAATAGTTTTGGCAGTATGAGTATTCAGGCATGTTGCCACACCACAATCAGATGTTTAATAAAATAGTAATGCTGTGAATATTTTGTTTATTGGATGAATTTTAAATTGTTTCATAGTACTGGGTTATTGGCAAACTCTATATTATATGTTAGACCTAGTTAGATAAACACTGCAGTTTATCAGAGTAAGGTATTGTAAATTGCTTTTCCCCAAAATATGTACTAAAACAAAGTTTTAATCATTTACTTTTTTTTCTCAGTTACAGTTCCTACTACAACCAAGATACCCTGCGGTAAGTTGTGGCTGTTGTTTTAGGAGCAACACACATCCCTTGGCAGTTGTGCTGTTTCTTTCTTCCTTATAAGCTTTCAAGCTCACTCAGCTCACTGGTTCTAATTTCTCAACAATAATGAGCTCTAATTCTTAAAGGCCAGTATTCACCAGTGACAAGATTTGTCCTATTCTGACCTGGTTTTGAATACCTGAATTAAAAATTACTAGTTAGACAATTTTGGTGAAGCACCCGAACTACAACTGACGTGTCTGTAAGCTAATGTGGTAGCAAGCTTGCTTTGGGGTGGGGGCACGGGTTCAGTGTAATGGCTCATGTAAGATGCGGATAATGTTTTGAAAGCTTATCAGAAAGTAAAACTATTTGTGTCTGTCTCCATGTCTGTCTGTCTGTCTGTCTCTGTCTCTCTCTGTCTATGTTTCTCAATCTCTCTATCTTTCTGTGTCTGTCTGTCTCTCTCCCTCTCTGTCTCTGTCTCTGACTGTCTCTTTCTTTGTTACTCTGTCTCTGTCTTTCTGTGTGTGTGTCTCTCTCTCCTTATTTCTCTCCTTCTCTCTCTGTCTCTCTGAATCTCTCTCTCACTCTCTGTCTCTGTCTTTCTGTCTGTCTGTCTCTCTGACTTTGTCTCTGTCTTTATCTCTCTCTGTCTTTATCTCTCTGTCTCTCTGTCTGTCTCTCTCTGTGTCTCTGTCTCTGTCTCTGTCTCTCCTTCTCCTGCGTCAACACTAAAACCTGAAAGCGTTTGTACCTATCCTTTACTCACTTTCTTCCTCTCTTCTCAGCAGAAACAAGTTCCTTCTGCATGGTCAGGCATATACTTCCTTTCACTTCTAAATCTCATCACTGAGGCCACTGCCTGCAGTAGCTCTTCACACGCTTCGTGCAAAGATCTGTCTTTATGTACTCATGTTGCCAGTACGAGCCTCTCTCATTCAGCCCTGGCTCCCTGTCCTCCAGCACCATTACCTCCTCAAGTGCTTCCCCTGTGTTTCTCCAAACACAGATTCTCCTACCTCAGTGTCTACTTGTCTTCTCCCTCTGTCCTTGCAATTCTCTTTCCTCCTTCTTCTCTGGCCCCTGCATTTGTTTTTATATGCTCTGCTCACATTTAAAAGTGCTATGTGAGCCATCTTCTCAGGAAACCCTTTTCTATTCCTTCACTCTGAATAGACCTCTTTCTCTTTGTCACCATGTTAGTGTGGGCTTGCCTTGTGCTTGTCTGACTTCTGCAATTCAGTCTGCGTGTGCTCCGCATCAGACTGCACTTTAAAAAGCTGATAATGTCTGATTTGGCTTTGTATTCTTGGTGCTTTGAATAGCGTCTTCAGTGTAACAACGGTGTAATATTTTCTTGTTAAATAAAATGAATGTTTAAATTAATATTTGCTAAACTATTTTTACCAGACCATAGAAGTTATTCGCAATGAATGATGTTTAGGAAGCGTTTTGTTATTAATAATCCTCATTTTATATGATTTGAAAAGTGAAATGAGAGACTGTGGTCTCCGAATATTAGTGTTCCAAGTACACGGAGAAATGTGCATAAAACAAAGGAGACTATTGAAAAAGAAGAGGATATTTGTTAAGTGTAGTTTTCACTTTTTTGGAGACAGGATATCACTGTGCAGTGCAGGCTTGTTTTAAACTCACTATGAAGTTCAGGCTGATCTCAAATTCGTGGTGATCTTCCTGCTTCAGCTTCCCAAGTGCCAAGATCATAGGTGTGGGCCATCACACCTGATTTCTAATTTTTTTCATCCTTCCTTTGTCCATCAGTAAAATATTACTAAGTTCATATTAATGATAGATATTATCCATGGGCCTGGACTTACAGTAGTTATCAAATAAATAGGCTGTTTTTGTCTCTCACAGAATTCATAATCCATTTAAGACAAAAATTAGATGTAATAACTATGTAACATAAATTTATAATCTGAAGTTCTTGAAACTATCAAAGCATAATATGAAGACACTGCATGCCCATCTAGTTTTCATATCTCTGGAGATCTTTTAGTGATTTGACATGTTTGAAAATATATATTGAGGCATTTGTACTAAATGCATACTTGTTCTTTCTGAATGAAGGATAATTCTCCTTTTTATTTCCTTTTAGATCAACAATATGATCAAATCTCTGTGACTTACACGTATTACAAGGAGAATACATCATTCACAGCACAACTGAATGGTTCTAAGTCCATGAAGTGTAATTCTAAAAACTGTGAAGAAGTGTTGCAAAGACTGACAGGATGCTCAGAGCATGTAATTCAGATAACTGATGATTCATGTTCTCGCCATAAACTTTTAACGTTACATGTACCACCAGGTAAATGTCAACCCAGTGATGCTCCTATATGTACAGTAACAGGGCCGTTCTGTGTGTGTATGTTATTTGTTTGTTCTATTATTAATCTTTAATCTATTTGGTAGAGTCTCACTACACAGCTGTAGTGATCCTTGTGTTTTCAGCCTCCCTAGCACTGGGATTACAGGTGTGTGCCACCATGCCTGGTCTCTGTGGCTGGCTCAGCATGCCTGGGGGGCAGAGCCAATGTGGCATGTGGTGCTGGGGATCCAACCTCAGTCCTTATGCTTGCCTAATTAGGGGCTTAGTTCGCTGGGCTATCTCATTAGCCCTACCATGTGTGCATGTTCTAGCGCTCCCAGGAACCAGGATGGTAAGAAACAGTGTCAAAGGAAAGAAAGTCAATAGTGGAATTTTCTTCTTTCCTGACCAAGTAAAAATTATGAAGTAATGTAAGTCACCTCTTTATATGCTTTAGTCTCCACTGTTAATTTCTTCTTCTTCTTCTTCTTCTTCTTCTTCTTCTTCTTCTTCTTCTTCTTCTTCTTCTTCTCTCTCTCTCTCTCTCTCTCTCTCTCTCTCTC